GGGGGGATCTGCAGTGGACCAGTCTGAGGATGACAGTGAAATCTCAAACTCCCTTCATGGATCACTTGCGCTTGTACATAAGGATTTGACTGACAGCCCACCACCCACATAGGCTGTCCCTCTCTGTGGGTTGTGGGAATAGTGCTGCTCTATCAACAGGAATCCACTGTGCAAACATGGAATTCTTGCACCTTTTGTTTGTGTGTCTGTGGGTGTGGATACATTAATTTTATTCTGCACAAATGCATAATACAGACACACACACAATCATGCACATGCACACACTACAGTAGAAATCACTGATGTTTAAAAAGCAGTCTGCGAGACTCAGAAAAATACCCAAAGGCATGGCACACCGCCTCAATTCAGACTCTTACAAACCAAATGTAGACATTATCACTGGCCCACTTTTAAGGAATCATTCGGAAAATGTTGCATCATCAGTGAGATAGATGCATTTAAAATGGCAAACTCTACCCCCTGCAGCGGTAAACAGAATTGTTTCAGTGGAAGAACGAAAGAGGTATTAGGTCAAATTCTATATTAGTAGAAATGTCACAGACTCTTTCACAGCTATAATAGTGCATTTTTTAGTAGTACCCTCATATTTTCCACCACTTGGTTAAAGAGGAGCTAATTTTCAGCTTCTTTTTTTCTTGGACTCTACTAGGGTAGCTTTGCATGGTTAAAAAAGTACCCTCAAATGTTCTGGTACATAGCCTTGACACAGCTACTGTCATTTAGTTCTACTGCTAGTTCTAGTACCTTTTACAGGAGCAAAGATTACAGCAGTGGAAATATTACACTGAATACCTGCACACCCTGGGATATAACAGTAGACTTAATTCTTCAGTACCAAGCTGTATCAAACAGTGTCTAAATACTCATGTCCCTGGTAATAGGTGAGGTGATGTGAGGGAATTACCCTAACTCCCTTTTCATATGAAAACGTCGGCTCTGTGGAAATACCACAGTTAAAGTAGCAAAATGTTATCCTGCTGATTCTAAGTGTCTGTATATTATCTCCCTGGGCTATCATTTGTTATACACAAAGCTAGCAAGTGATAGAAGAATTACAAAGAGCAGCTCGGCTACATTATAATCATGCCCATGGTCTTAACTAAAGCTTCAGTCACAATTTATGCTGTCCAGTTTTCCCTACCAGAAAAGTATTTCAGTGATATGTTTACAGCTTGTGGGTCTGACTTCTCCACATCTCTCTTTGTAAAGTAGCTTTCTCTTAGCATTAGGTTGGTTGAACATCTAGCTTCACATAGGTCCTGTTCACAAGAGTCCCCTGGGAAATGGTCTGAACAAACAAACATGCTGCCTTTTGGCTGTTCATGGTCTGAAAAAAAAATTGTTTTTTACATAACGCAGATTTAAAAGTTATAAAACTTGTCAGAAACCTGGTGTTTAGAGCAGTCTAAAGTCTGAACCTTGGGCTCACAGGGATTACTTGTACGTACGCTTACCTCATTATTTCAAATGTAATGTTTAATATTAGCGTCACCTTCCAAAGGTGTATGCAGTGAGACCCATAAGTTTTTGAAAGTGACACAAATCTGATACATTCTTACATTCTGGTCAGAGTATTGATTGATTCACTGACACCAAAAGACCTGAAACACAGGAGAAGTCATGAATAACAGAAGTATTCCTGTGGTTAAGAAAAACAACTTCACAACATCTATCCAATTCAACAACAGGAGGAGGTAGGCACGCCATTGTCAAAGTCTACAATGAATTTAAGCATAGAGTGTTTACAGCAAGTTACAACCAGCATGTTGGGAAGAAAACAGTATGGAGAAGGAAAGGAGCGCCTAATGATATGAAACATAATGCATCAGAGGCAGCATTATGAGATGGACTTATATGGCCGTCACTGATGATGTGACTGCTAATAGAAGTATCAGGATGAACTGTGAAGTGTTTGAATCTCTACTACGATCAAACAAAGAAGCAGAAACTGAAGGTAGCTGCAGTAAAGGCCTGACAGAGCATCGCAAGGAAAGAAACAGTATTTGGTGATGGTCATGGATTCTGCAATGCATTTTCATTCATGTATTAAAAACAACCCTTGTATGTAAAATGATGTTAGTTTGTTAGCTTAAAGCCTGCACTGCAGTTAAGCCTTAATTATACACATTGAATTGTGGTGGTGTCATAAAGAAAAATTACAAAAAAGTGTTCATGTAAAAAAGAAAAGAAAATGAAAATCAGCATATTGTTTTAAATATATGACACAGAAAATATTAAACATTTAATAGCTGCACTTTAACTCCCTCCAGTAGTACTTATCACTAGTATTAATGAGTTTTTACCTTGAAACAGAACATCGCCTGACACAGATAAAACCAGGTGCAGATGTAAAGCTACAGTAGCTGCAGAAGAAGCTGGCAATTAGTAATGAAAAGAGAAGAAAGTCCTGATGTTTAGTGAGTTTATTATCCCATGTTTCCTACACAGTCTTGGTACTGTGGACTTTCTTTCTGCATTTCCTTTTTCTTGTTTATGGTTTATGAATTAGACCCAGCTCACTGACGACATTGGGGATTTAAAAACACCCTTAACTATACTTAGTCTGCTCCAGTGCATTAGCACAGCGTACTCTAGTTAAATCACTGCAAAAGTCACTTAATAAAAATTGTAACAAATGAGAAATAATGTAAAAAAAAAGTGTGTAATTAAAGTGGAAACACATGTGTGAGAATGCATAGAAATCTGCACAGTGCTTCATAGCATAAGCTGAATATAACTTATATATATATAATAACCTTTGCAGCATTTAAAGGGAGTTGGAGGACCCTAACACACAAACACACTCAAAAACAGGAACAGAGTGCATGAAATAAAGATGAAGAGAGAGCATTTGTTACATATGGTATGCTTAACACATTTTCTTGTGAGAGGGATGACTAAACTGGAAGGGGAACACTTTCCATCTATCAGCAGACAGGGACAAAGAGAGGAGAGCATACAGGGGCATTTGTTTCAGCTGTTTCACACGAACATCTTTCATCTTCCCCACAAAGTTGTTATCAGATTTCTGCCTCAACCAACTCTCTTAGCAAGGGGGAGCAATGACTTTGAGAATAACACTGTAAACCTCTCAGACACAAGCTCCCATTGTCTGTGTTTGTTACCGGTCACTATACACAGCATACACAAAAATGTTAAAAATAAAAAATAAAAATCTAAAAAGATCATTTCAGCACATCAGAGTTGAGGGATTAACATTTTAGTCAGACTGGATTTTAATATATTGTCTTGTTTAAGGGAATATATGATGTAGATAACATATTTTTTTCTAAACATTACCTATTTCAAATCTAAAACCACCACCAACAATTGAACAAAGGATCCAATAAGATGCTTTAATAGATGCTGGCTGATATAGCAGAGCTGTAAAATTTTGTTTACTGGTCTTCTTCAGAACATGATTAGACTACCTTGTTGTGTACTCACCACTATACTAGGTACGAGTTTTCAACTAGTCC